GCCTGTGTCTCTGCCTCTCTCTCTCTGTGTCTCTCATGAATAAATAAAATTTTAAAAACAAACAAACAAATGACAGAACTGTCGCGGAAAGATACAGAAACAGAGCCCATAGCAAATAGTTTCATTAGAGGGGATCTAATACAGGGAATGAAATACCAAGGTTGGAGAAACCAAAACAAAACAAAACAAAACAAATAAATGGTGAAGCCACCCAAATATTAGCAGCAGAGCAGGCTACTACCATCCGTAAAGCTGGAAGGAAAAAGAGAGGATGTACTGCCATTAGAGCCAGGCACAAGGGCCAAACAGCAGGAGCTAACACCAAGGAAGATACATAGTCATAGCCAGAGACACCGCCCAAAGCAGGAGAGGAGATCCTGTGCTCTCCCTGTCTTCAGTCCTCTAACCTTCCCCAGTGCCCCTCACTGGCCAAGAGTGACTAAAAGGGAGCCTGGCAAATGTCTGCAGGAGAGGTCTGGGGAATGGATTTATGGGGAAACAGGCAAATGACTGGCATAGCAACAGTCACAGGTTATGGGACTTCCCTAAGTTGCAGTTGGTATGTGACCAGAACTTAGTTCTCTGGTTCCATGATCTAGATTCCTAATCACTGTGCTTTGGAAATGTCCTAGGTCAAGTTACTGCAGAGCCAAGACTAAGAGAATCCAAGTTCCTAACTCCTATTCAAAGGTTCTCTAACACAGGAAACAACAGATGTTGGCAAGAATGCAGAGAAAGGGGATCCCTTTACACTGTTGGTGGGAATGTATACTGGTGCAGCCATTCCTGAAAACCATATGGAATTTTCTCAAAAATTTAAAGAAAGAAACTACCGCACACCCAGCAATTGCACTATAGGTATTTATCCAAAGGATACAAAAATACAGAGTAAAAGTGGGAACATACATCCTGTTGTTTTTAGTAGCATTATCAACATTAGCTAAATTATGGAAAGAGCCCAAATTTCCATCGACCGATGCATAGATAAAAAAGATGTGGTGCGCAAACACACATAGAGAATGGAATATTACTTGGCTATCAAAAAGAATGAAATCTTGCCACTTGCAACAACATGAATGGGGTGCATACACGTACACACAGAGTGGAGTATTACTCGGTCATCAAAAAGAATGAACTGTTGCCACTTGCAACACAGAGTGTATTATGCTAAATGAAATAAATCAGAGAAAGACAAATACCAACATGATTTCACTCATGCATACAATTTAAAAAACAAAACAATTGAATGTATGGGAGAGGAAAAGAGAGAGAAGCTAAACCATAAGAGACTTAACAAGAAAACAAACTGAGGATTGATGGGAGGGAGGTGGGTGGGGTCTAAACGGGTGACAGGAATTAAGGAAGACCGTTGTTATGGTGAACACCTGGGATTATATTTAAGTGACAAATCACTAACTTCTACTCCTAAAACCAATATGACACTTAATGTTAACTAACTAGAATTTTAATAAAAATTTAAAGAAAAAAAAAAGATTCTTTGCCCCCCTACCACCACCACCACCACCCACAGCCCATCTCAATATAAAAAAAAAAAAGTTGATTCAATGGTCAAGGTCATGCCAATGAGGTATCTAAGGCTGCTGGCTAGGTGTGGGAATCAGACTTCCTGCAGAAAGTTCTAAAAACTCTAATGTTATGAAAGAATCACACACTTCTGAGCCTACAAGGAGCCTCTCCCAAACTTAAGAGTGCATGAAAAGATCACCAAGGGAGTTGGTTGAAGTATAATTTTGAAGCCTGCAGCACCAGTCAAAGGATCAAGATTTAATGGATTCGGAAACATCTGCCACATGTTCAAGAATGCCACGCTTAGGAAACGAGCATAAAGATTTCAATGAATATGAATGTCAATCAACTGTAAGTGAGGGTCCAGTCACCCTGCAGACCCATCTCACAGACCTTGGCTGCCAAGAGTGGAGGCAGCTGTATGGTAGGTTTCACAATCCACACAAAATGTTCCTTGCTTCTCTGCCCCAAGCATCTCCAATTTCCGAGTAAGGAGCTCCACTGTCTGCTGGACACTCTTGCCCTCGGCCACAGGCATCTGGGATACACTGAAAGGGAAAAGACCAAATCATCAGTATTCAGAGGCATATGCACACTCATTGAGCCATTCATTCACACACAGAATCACAGCATCTCAGGGACAGGAGTTATCTTAGAGACCATATATCCTTAACATCTCTCTCATTTTAAAGATGAGGAAATAAGAGGCTCACAGTTCCTAACCGCTCCACTAAGAACTAGAACACAGGTCTCAGGACACTCCTACCAGCATAGTGAAATTCCTATCACAGCAGCATTTTCCAAGCAGGACACGTGTGCCAACATTCAAGCAGTTTTAGGTGGCACACAGAGTAATCCATAACATTGATGTCCTTTGCGATTCCTTCAGTTCTGCCTAAATTAGGAAAATCTGTTTGAGGTTAGTATGTTTTTATCAATTCTCTAACATTTTGAAGGTGTGTTGTCCAGTACAGTAGCCACAAACCACATGTGGCTATTTACACTTAAACTAATAAAACAAGTTAAATTAAAACTTCAACTGCTCAGCTGCACTACCCCATTTCAAAGGTTCAATAGCCACATGTGACCAGAGGCTAGTGTATTGGACAGTGATGTTATGGAACATTTCCGCCAATATGGAAAATTCTATTCAACAGCCCTAGGATCAAAAAGAAAGCAAGCCTCAAGTCTGTAATCTTTAGGAGTCAGAGGCAACGATATGTACAAAAATAAAATAAAAACAATGAGATAAAAATGTTATTTCCAAGATTCCTTCTATGGTAAGTGAAACCGACCTCCCCTTAAGAGTAGTAGGTAACGGGCAGCCCGGGTGGCTCGGCAGTTTAGCACTGCCTTCAGCCCGAGTCCTGATCTGGAGACCCGGGATTGAGTCCCACATCGGGCTCCCTGCATGGAGCCTGCTTCTCCCTCTGTGTCTCTGCCTCTTAGTCTCTCTCTCTCTTTCTCTGTCTCTCATGAATAAATAAAATCTTAAAAAAAAAAATAGTAGTAGGTAACAATCATTAAGCACCAACCACGTGCCAGGCAGTGTCCAAAGGCCTTTAGACCAATGAACTATTTGGATCCTCACAACGGCCCTAGAAGGTGACTATTATTTATCTCCTTGTAATAAGTAAGGAAACTGAAGAACAAAGAGGTTGAGTAACTTGCACAAAGTCACATAGCTTGGTGTGGTACAGCCAAGATTCAAAGCCAGGCATGCTGGTTCCATGTCTGTGTTCTTATCCACTATACTAGATTGCTTCCCTAAACAAGTAGCTGCCAGTTAAAATGTTTCTAAGAAAACGAAACAGATTCAAAAAAAAAAATTCATAAATACTTCAGGTGGTACACCTAACTAAACAAAAACCATACATATTACTGAATTCTCAAAGACATTACTTTATGATCAATCAACCACAGAGGGAGGGAGGAAAGGAGGGACTACTGCTGTTGCTAAAAATTGTCCCTACTCTCCATCAGAAGATGAACTCAGAAGCAATGCATAACGTGCCTTTACTGACAAACATAAGAGAATACCTAAACTGACATTACACAGGTCCGAAATACCAGGAGTGTGATATACTTGCTAAGGGTCCCAACAGACTGAGGGCCCATTCCCTCTTTCTGTCTTCTGCTGAAAGAACAGGGGCTTTCAGGTTCCAAGCCTCTATGCTGCAAGCTTTTCTTTCCAACCCTCAACACTCCCTTACACTAGAAAACTTAGAAAAGGCTTAAAATATCCATTGCAGAAAACACAGGTGCAGTAACTGACAAGCCTACAAGAACCTGAGCTATCAGAAAGAGAAGTTCCGGGGATCCCTGGGTGGCGCAGCGGTTCGGCGCCTGCCTTTGGCCCAGGGCGCGATCCTGGAGACCCGGGATCGAATCCCACGTCGGGCTCCCGGTGCATGGAGCCTGCTTCTCCCTCTGCCTATGTCTCTGCCTCTCTCTCTCTCTATCATAAATAAATTAAAATTAAAAAAAAGAGAGTAGTTCCCACAGGCTCCAGCCCTGACTAGAAACGTGCTAATACTTACCGATATTCAAAACAAAACAATCCCTAAAATCTAGCATTTCCTCCAAGAGCATTAGGCCCATACTTTCTCTGCCACCCCCACTTATATCATGTTGAGAGATTAAAAGTCCATAGTAATCAGTTACACCAACCATACAATTAAACATAGTAGGAAACGAATCCTGAAGAGGTGACGTGCCTAAACCCCAATCTACCTCCCAACAGCTTCTTCTTCTTCTTTTTTTTTTTTTTCCTCTAGACCGAAAATCTTAAGACGGCCGCAAAAGAACCAGACACGGGCCGGTCTAACTGCATTAGGTGGCTGTAGGGAGGGGCAGGAGAAAATATTTTTTAAAAAAGGATGGTTTCCTCGTTGCCTATCCTTTACCTCCTCTAGCTACGCCTGTAGATTGGGTCCTAGTTCGGGCATCCTTAATTTCCACCTCGGGCAGCCCTATGGCCTCCTGGGAAGGAGGAACACAACCACTGATGGGCTCCTGGGACAAAACCTTTCACCTGCCGCCTTTCAGGACGAAGGAAGTGTCTCCGAGCAAACAAGCGCGGAGAATCTGCAGCCCTCGCAGCGTCTCCATCACCCACACGTTCCGAAGATATCTTATCTTCATCAGCTCACGGGGGACCGCGGACCCTGGTCCCGGCCCTCCTCCCGGTACACTCCGGGCTCCGGGGCCCTTCCCGACCCCGAGCGCCGCCCAAAAAAGTCCCCTGCGGGCCTACCAAGTCACTCCCATGGTATCGGGCCAAGAGGACGGCAGGAACAAACAATCGGATCACGGTAGTCTCTGGCCGCCCACACTAAGGGAAGCCCCCTAACGAAAGCTTCGGCCGAGGGAGGTGCTCCGGAAATGACGCAAAAGGAGAGCGTCCCGTCGACGCGCCCACGAGAACAGGGGCAGGTCTAGGCATCGCCTCGGTGACGCCTCCAGTGACGTCACTACCCAACTCTGGGCCCCCGGCTTTGCAGCTAGGCAAGTCCACGTTTGGCTGGGAACAGAGGTCCTCGATCTATGAAAGTAGAAAGTCACCGCTCGGACTGCCACACTTGCAGAAGCCAGCGTTAGAAGCAGTGAGTTCATTCGGGGACCCGCTCCAGGCCCCGCTCTTACGGGGTGTGGCGGCGCGGTTGGCCTTCCTGGCCTCCGAACGCCGGGAGGCGCTGTGAGCTCCGCGGGGGCCTCTTGGGAGCTGGGACTTCACTGCGCAAGTGCGCTCAAGGCTTTTTTTTTTTTTTTTCCCCCCCCCCTCTGTTCCCCACGTGTAAACCTTTCTGGCAAAGTTTTGGGAAAAAATGCCCAAATTCAAGCCGGCTCGCGGAGCTGCAGGCCAGGAAAAACATGCGCCGCTGGCTGAGCAAATCCTGGCTGGGGACGCGGCGCGGGCAGGGCCCCGGGAGAAGCGGCGGGGTCGTGGGACCAGAGAAGAGGACGAAGAGTACGTGGGGCCCCGGCTGACCCGACGGATTTTGCAGCAAGCGCGGCAGCAACAGGAGGAACTCGAGACCGAGCATGGGACTGGGAACAAGGCCGCAGCCCCGCGCGAGCGCACCACGCGTCTGGGTAAGTCGGGGGGGGGGGGTGCTGCCAGGAAGAGGGTGGTTAGTTTTGGAGGGAGGGGGAAGTAGATAGACGGCCAAAAGGTTCTGCCAGGGGAATCCTTTGGAATAAAAAAAATGAAATTGAATAAGGAGCCCGCATCACACCCTTGCAAAGGTGATGGAATGGGAGACCCAGCCCTGGAATAGAGTTAGGGTGGTCAGAGCTCTCTATGCCCACTTGTAGTTTTAGATGCTGGCGTCTAGGCATTCTCTAAGTTAGACCAACAAGAAGTTAATTGGTCACATCATTGAGCACTCCTAACGTTTATCCATCTGTTCTGTACATTCTTGTAGGTTGTCTAGTCCGTACTTTGCACTGTGCTAGGTAGTTTAGATGGTTTTGAGTAAAAAAGGAAGCAAGAGAGCCATGAGCCTGACTTCAAGATCTTACAGTCTAACCTGAGAGAGAGACAATTAAATTGACGATTCGAATAATACATTTCATGATGAAAGTATAGTTTTGGGACACCTGGGTGTCTCAGTGGTTGAGCATCTGCCTTAGGCTCTGGGCAGGATGGCGGGGTCCTGGGATCGAGTACCGCATCGGGATCCCAGCGGGGAGCCTGCTTCTCCCTCTGCCTATGCCTCTGCCTCTCTCTGTGTGTTTCTTGTAAATAAATAAATGAAAAAAAATTTTTTAAGTATAGTTTCATCTTATAACAAGAGCATTAGTTTTGGGGGTCAGGGTTCCTAGGTTGCATGACTTTGGTGCTGAAAACTAGTGGAGAGAAAGCTCTAAGCAGAATGAACGATATTGTTTAGGTGCTATAAAGAGGGAGAGTAATAAAAAGATGGTCATTTTTTTTTTTTTGATTTTTTAGGGTGGAAGTGTTGCCTCCGGGTCACTTAATCCATTTTTCAGGTCTCATCTTTCATTTGTCCTGAGAGCAGTGTTTGACACAATTAAACACTGGCCTCCTGGGTTCGGTATCTTTACTTGGCTTCTGAGCCATCCCATTCCTGTTTTAGTACTTCTTCACCTCTCAGCATCTTTTGCTGGGTCTTTTGTCCCCAGCCTTTTATCATTCATATGCCACAAGTTTGGTTCTTGGACCTCTTCTTTTCATATCTCTTTTCTGGTGCTATCATCCTTTTCACGGTTTAAGTACCACCTATTTGGTAACTGTTCCCAACCCTGTATTCTTGCCCTGATCTCTTCCATGAAAATCAGATTCTTCTATTTTTAGCTGCCTTTTTGACATCCCCAATTTGTTTTTTTTTTTTTGACATCCCCAATTTGAAATCTAATAGACGTCTTAAATTTATTTTTTTTAAGATTTTATTTATTTTTTCATAAAAGACACAGAGAGAAGGCAGAGACATAGGCAGAGGGAGAAGCCAGCTCCTCACAGGGAGCTCGATGCTGGACTTGATCCCAGAACTCTGGGATCCCTCCCTGAGCTGAAGGCAAACGCTCAACCGCTGAGCCACCCAGGCGTCCCAAGAGATCTCAAATTTAATGTGTCCAAAACAGAAATCCTGATCTTCTCGCCAAACCTGCTCCTCCCACTGTCAGCTCAGTTAATAGGATGCTATCCTTCCATTTGATCAAGGCAAGCCTTGGATTTCTTTCTTATTCCACATTTGATATGTCAGGAAATCTTGTTGACTCATACCTTCAAAATAGATCAGAGTCGGGCAGCCCGGGTGGCTCAGTGATTTAGCACCGCCTTCAGCCCAGGGCCTGATCCTGGAGACCCGGGATCGAGTCCCACGTCAGGCTCCCTGCATGGAGTCTGCTTCTCCCTCTGCCTGTGTCTCTGTCTGTCTCTCTCATGAATGAATGAATGAATGAATGAATAAATAAATAAATAAATAGATAGATAGATAAATAAATCAGAGTCAGACCACATCTCATCACCTTGGAACACAGTCCTATTTGAGCCACCATAATCTCTCACCTGGATTATTTTAGTAGCTTCCTAATTAGCATACCGTCACCCTTACAGTCCACTCACAACAACTGGATGACTTAAAAGATCTCCATGATCTGCCCCTGTTGCCAATCTGACCTCTTCTACTACTTTCGCCTTACTCTCTTCATCCATACAGGCTTTATTTTTCTTTAAACATACTAACTTTGGGCTTTTGTCCTGGTTATTCCTTCTGTTTTCTTATCCATGTAGGCTTATTCTCTTGATTGTTCACCATCTCAGAGAGGCCTGCCCTGGTCACTTCATTGGAAATACACGGGGCACCTTGGTTAAGCACCTACCTCATTTGGTTAAGCACCTACCTTCGGCTCATGTCATGATCTCAGAGTTCTGGGGCTGAGACCCACATTGGGCTTTCCTGCTCAGTGGGGAGGCTGCTTCTCCCTCTCCCTCTGTGTGTGCACATGTGTGTGTGCACGCATGCCCTCTCTCTCAAATAAATAATCTTAAAAAAAAGAAAAAGGAAATTCCCAGGGTGCCTGGGTGGCTCAGTTGGGTAAGCATCTGACTTCTGTTTAGGTCATGATCTCAGGGTCCTGGGGTTGAGTCCAGTGTCAGGTTCTGTACTCAGCAGGGAGTCTGCTTGTTTCTCTCCCTCTCTCTCTCTATCTCTCGCTCTCTCTCTCTTCCTCACCACCCCCTGGCCAAATAAAATTTTTGAAGAAAAAAAGGGAAAGAAATACACCTTACCTCTGTTTCTACATTCCTGACTTCTCAACTCTGCTCTGTTCTTTTTTCATAGCACTTGTCTTCTTTTATTTTTTTTTATGTTTCTTTTTTTTTTTTTTTTTTTTTTTTTTTTTACTTATGATAGTCACAGAGAGAGAGAGAGAGAGGCAGAGACACAGGCAGAGGGAGAAGCAGGCTCCATGTACCGGGAGCTTGACGTGGGATTCGATCCCGGGTCTCCAGGATCATGCCCTGGGCCAAAGGCAGGCGCCAAACCGCTGTACCACCCAGGGATCCCCACTTGTCTTCTTTTAATACTTATTATTGTCTATCATTCCTGTTCAAATGTAAGCTCTGTAGGTTTCTCTTTTACTTATTTTTTAAATATTTTATTTAGAGAGAGAGGCAGAGACATTGGCAGAGGGAGAACCAGGCCCCTGAGGGGCATCTGATATGGGACTCAGTCCCAGGACCCTGGGGGGATCACAACCTGAGCCAAAGGCGGATGCTCAACCACTGAACCACCCAGGTGCCCCAAGTTGCCTTTTTATACTAATTTTTTTCAGCACTCGGAAGTTAAATCTACAAAAGATTTGGAGGCTATGTTTAGGATTTAAAGCTGTCCTAAAGACAGCAGGGGGCTATTGCAGAATATGGAGACCAGTTAGGGGATTGTTGAATACAGGCAAGCAATGCCCCTGATCTAGGCATAGGCAGAACTATGAAGGATTTGAGAGATAGTCTGAGGTAGAATTCAATAGGACATGGTAATTGATTGTGTAATTGGGGTGTGGGCAGGGGGTGAGAGCAGGCCTACCAGGTTCTGGCTCAGTATTTGGTGGTGGTAGTGCCATTTACTTAGATCTGAAACAAAGTGAGTAGTATACACCTAGAAGGAAAAGAGTGAGTTCAGTTGATGACAGGTGAGGTTTTAATTGCCTGTGGCTCATCCAGGAGGTGCTCTACAGGAGGGAGCTAGAGTAAAGGGAAATATACCTACAAGCACAGATTTGGGGTTTGTTAGCATGTAGGGACAAAACATCTGGCACATCCCCTCCTCCATTTAGCTTTTATCACACACTGCCTCTTTTCTTAATGAGCTATTCATGTGTAACATTTCTTTCTGTTCGGATATTACATCCCTTCCCAGATGCCCAGCCACCTATAGCTTTCCAATAACCAGTTATAAAAATGGATTGTTCCAGGGGTGCCAGGGTGGCTCAGTCGTTAAGCATCTGACTTTGGCTCAGTTCATGATCCCAGGGTCCTGGAATCCAGCCTCCTGCCTCATGTCAGGGTCTGTGCTCAGCAGGGAGTCTGCTTCTCCCCTTCCCTCTGCCTCTCCCCCTGCCCTTGGTCCTGTTAGTGCAGACATATGCACAGTCTATCTCCAATAAGTTCTTTTTAAAAAGAGGGGTTTGTTCATTAAAATCTGAACTGCATTGCCTGACCTAAAGCCCTCCACAATCTGGCTTTACTTTGACCATCTAGCCTTATTTCTTGCTACTGCATATCAGATGCTCTTGTAACCAAGCCTTCCTGGCAGTGTTGTTACCCATGTCTGGAGCACACTCCTCCAGCTCTTGTACTCCCTGTCCAGAGTCTAACCATCCTCTGCTGTCATTACCTTTTACATACCTGTGGTATACACTGCCTCTACCTTTTATTTTGGCATTTAATGAAGCCCTACAATGTTCATAGAGCAAAAAAGTGAAGAATGTACAGTCTAAACCCAGACTACCTGCCTCAGGCAGGTTACTTAACTTTCCTATGCTTAGGAGTCCCTACCTGAAACTGGATAGAATAGTAGTAACTACTTGTTGGCATTATGAAAATTAGGTACAGTGTTTAGAACAGCTCCTGCTATATAACTGAGTCTAGGGTGTTAACGATTGACTACTCATTGGCATCACTATCTTCTTGGCTCGTATTTGTACACTTTGTCTCTCAAGCAAGATTGGGACCAGGAAGCCCCTGGGAACTGGAAGACAGTGGGTGCATCCGTGCTTCCACTGCCCCCATCTATATCTGTTATAAGCACATGTGAGGTCTGTATTTTACATGATGGGTAAAGTTGAATTGACCTCTACATCCCTCCCCAACTCCCTGCCTTGCTCATCTGTTTTATCCTCTCTTCTAGGTCCGGGAGTCCCGCAGGACGGATCAGATGATGAGGATGAGGAGTGGCCCACCCTGGAGAAGGCTGCCACAATGACGGGGGCTGGCCATCACACAGAAGTTGTTGTGGATCCTGAGGATGAGCGGGCCATTGAAATGTTCATGAACAAGAACCCTCCTGCCAGGTAGGGCTAGCATGGCCTGGGGATTGGGATGTCAGGTCCGGGTGCAGTTTTCTATAAGGAGGCACATGCCCTGCCAGTTTTGGTTCCCTGCCTTTGGGAAGGGCCCTGAGCATAGCTAATTGTGGGGAGCCAACTTGGCAAAACTGGCCCCTCCTCAGTGAGAAGGACCCCAACTTCCTGCCCATCTGTCCACTGTGATATTTATATGACACTCTTCTTAGTTCTTAGGCTTTTAGGAGCTAAATGCATCTCTCGTTGTTGATAGTATTGAGAAAAGACACAGAAGCTGAAGGATAAGTTCTGTGGTCACTGAGAACACAGTGAGGAAATGAGCCAGTTTCCCACACTGATGCCCAGCAGCTAAAGTAGATGTCACAAAGTATGTACTTGGGCTGCATGCTTCTCCTGGCAGAGGGCCCTTGATTCTCAGCACCTCCAAACTCCTTTGTAATATAGTATTCTGACATGATTGGCAGGATGATTTTATTGCTTGGAGCTGCCAAAACAGGAATTCTTGATAGTCCTGAGAAATGATAGCTGGCAACTTCTGAAAGCAAACCCAGACCCATGTGAACTCAGCAGTCAGGGGCCCATGTAGTTGGGGGCACATTATAGTGTATTGTCAAGTACCTGGATTTCAGGCTGAAAGACCAGGGTTTGACTCTCTCCTTACTTGAGAGCTCTGAGACCCTGGGTGAGTTATTGACGTCTCTGGATATCAGTTCCTATGTCTGAATAAGGGCAATAATGACACCTCTATGAGATGTTGTACAGCCTATATGAGATAATCTGGAAAATCCTGCTTCAGTGCCTGTTGTCGAGAAAATAGCCATTTTAGATATGCCTTAGCAGCCTCTGAAGACATCATTCTACCAAAACCCAATGTGACAATAATTCTAAACCATCCTGACAAGGTTATGTTTGATATGCTCTGTGCAAGGAAACTGAGAAAAATATTATTAATCTTAGAAATCTTTCCATAAATTTCAAAAAGTGAAATTGGGGGGAAGTTTGTGTCATAGTCTCTCCTTAATGGCCCCAGTTGCTTGAAATCTTGGAAAATAACTGAGATGTGTCTGGCATTCTAGGGAGGCCAGATCAGAACTTTGTAATAGGAGATCCCTTAGCATGTTGCCAGCACTCGATAGATGTGTTTGAAATAGGCAATGCTTACTGTACACTTGCTGTGTACTAAGAGTTCTAAGTAACATGCAAACATTAACTCCTGTAATCCTTGTGCTGACATTATGAGCTAGGCACTGTTACTGTCCCTGTCTCACAGATAAGGAAACTGAGGCATAGAGAGGCCAAGTATGCCCAGAGTCATACAGGGAGAGGAAGAGCCGAGATCTGAACCCAGGCTGACTGACTTCAGAGTCCAGGCCCTCCACCTCCACACAGCTATCAGCTTTGTCCCAAAATGAATGACTTTTGGGTCCTCACACTGCTCAGGATTCTGTGGTGGGTAGTAGGGCTTAGGAAGACTGGGGCCACACATCCCAGCGGGGTCACAGGTGTATTGGAGCTCATGAGGGACTGCGCAGGAAGTCTAGAGCTTCCCAGACTGACCACCGCCCTCTCCCCTTCCCTCCCACACCTCCTCTACTCTTAGGCGTACCCTGGCTGACATCATCATGGAGAAGCTAACCGAAAAGCAGACGGAAGTTGAGATGGTTATGTCAGAGGCGTCAGGCTTTCCTATGCCCCAGCTGGACCCCCGGGTCCTAGAGGTCTACAGAGGGGTCCGGGAGGTAAGAGCTGAGAGGAGAGCCGTGATCAGATACCCTCCCAGGGGCTGTGGGCTCCACCTAAGGCTTTGTGTTCCCTCACAAATGAGGCAGAGTGGCCAAAAGCAAACTTAAAAGATACCTGCTCTGCCACTCAGGGAGTTGGTAGCCTTGGGTAAGGTTCCTTAACTCTAGTCTTGGTTTCCCCATCTGGAAAACGAGGGCATAAAAGCACATCCTAACAGGGTTGTGGTGAGGATTAAGTGAGCTAATCTGAAAACCACCCACATGAGGACATGGCATGGGGCACATGGCTTATGTGTCATGGGCAGCGATGACTCAGCGCCCTCATCCCCAGGTGTTATCGAAGTACCGCAGTGGGAAGCTGCCCAAGGCCTTCAAGATCATCCCTGCGCTCTCCAACTGGGAGCAAATCCTGTACATCACAGAGCCTGAGGCCTGGACTGCAGCCGCCATGTACCAAGCCACGAGGTAGAGGAGGGGGGTTAGGGCGGCCTGGGGTCTGTAGGTAACAGTGGGGGTGGAGGTGCAGCTTTCTCTGCTACTGTCATTACACCTTTGCCTTGCCCCAGAGCTCTAGCTTGTGTTTGTACATCACGGTTTTCCCAGCTTTCCTGTTTCATGTTTCGGAGCCAGGACTTGGTTGAGACTCTGCTGTGATGAGTTTTCAGAAGTGGGGCTTAGAACTACTGGGGGACAACCCCTGGTGTGTCAGAAGGGCCTCTGAAGTCTGTGGCTCCCCAGGCACACTTGGGTCCCTCGTGACAGCAAGGTAAAGAAAACCTATGTCAGGGAAGAAAGGTGAAGAGCAGAGAGCTCTGGCTTTCCCAAAGACAGAGCGCTCCCTTTGTTTGGATACATCTTGTAGCCCCTCCTGAGCCCTCCCTAATCTGTGTCTGCACACAGCTTACTCCTACTCACCCCTGAGATCTCTTATGTGCACCATCCACAGTGATTATTTAAAGTGCCAGCTCCAGGTGGCTCAGTCAGTTAGGTGTCTTATCTTTGGCTCAAGTCATGATCCCAGGGCCCTGGGATTAAGCCCCAAGTCAGGCTCCCTGCTTAGCAGGGGAGTCTGCTGCTCCCTTTTCCTCTGCCCTTCCTCCCCGCTTGTGCATGTACTGTCTTTCAAATTTTTTAAATCTTTAAAAAAAAAAGTAATAAAGTGCCAGCTCCTGGCTACCAAGTGACCAGGGATCTCCCCCCGTATTCTCCCCCCCACCCCCAAACCTAGGATTTTCGCTTCTAACCTCAAGGAACGCATGGCTCAGCGCTTCTACAACCTTGTCCTGCTCCCCCGGGTACGAGATGACATCGCTGAATACAAACGACTCAACTTCCACCTCTACATGGCACTCAAGAAGGCCCTGTTCAAGCCTGGAGCCTGGTTTAAAGGTGGGAACAGAGAGGGAGGGGCCGGAGCTCCTGCAGGTGAAAGCAGCAAGCCTGACTTGGGAGATGACTGTCTCGGGTAGGTGGGGAACCTGCTCTAGCTCCTTTCTCTCACCCTAGACTCAAAAATGACTGCCTCTCTGACCCTCCCCAGGCATCCTGATCCCCCTGTGTGAGTCTGGCACCTGTACCCTCCGGGAAGCCATCATCGTGGGTAGCATCATCACCAAATGCTCCATCCCTGTGTTGCACTCCAGGTAGTGTTGGTGAGGATGGAGAATAGTCAGCAGATACCCAGATAGGAGAATCCCAGGGTGGGGGCTGGGAGTGGACAGAGTGCGGAAGGACCTAGGAATAGCCCTGGGTCTGTGGCTTGTTTAAGCTTCTGAGCATGTCGCTACTCCACTAGAATGGAAGTTCCCCCCCAAACAGGAGCCCGGTGCCTGGCACATGGCAGGTGCTCAGTAAGGAGTTGAATGAATGAATAGAGAACATGGGAAGAAAGTTTGTTAGGGGTGGAGATCTTCAGATGCTTAAATATATTCTAGCCAGATACTGAGATGAGCAGCTGAGTGAGAGATAGGGGTTTGGTGTGAATCCGCAGAGACCTAACAACGGGCTGAGGGTGGGTGTAAGATCAGGTAGGTGAGAAGAAGGCCTGAGATGGCCCCCTTAGGAATAGTACAGTGCAGGGGCCAGGAGAGGAGAAAAGGGACAGGGCAGGGCAGATCTTCCCTCCAGCGTCCCCCCCCCCACCACTAACCCTTCCCCACCAGTGCAGCCATGCTGAAAATTGCTGAGATGGAATACAGCGGTGCCAACAGCATCTTCCTGCGACTGTTGCTGGATAAGAAGTACGCGCTGCCCTACCGGGTGCTAGATGCCCTGGTCTTCCACTTCCTGGGCTTCCGGACAGAGAGGCGCGAACTGCCTGTGCTCTGGCACCAGTGCCTCCTGACTTTGGTCCAGCGCTACAAGGCAGACCTGGCCACAGATCAGAAAGACGCCCTCTTGGAACTGCTCCGACTGCAGCCGCATCCGCAGCTGTCCCCTGAGATCAGGCGTGAGCTCCAGGGCGCAGTCCCCCGAGATGTAGAAGATGTTCCTCTCGCCATGGAGTGAGGAAAGTTACTTGTCCTGGTCTGAAGGGCATGGGGGGCTGGTCACCAGGATTCCCTGTTGGTGGCACTGAGCTCTTAACAACTGAAGTCTCGGATCAGGACAGTCACAGGCATCTGTGACTCCTGTCCCTGACAGGGAGGACTAAGGGTCTGCTGGCTCCCTGTTCATTCTAGGTCTTCATCCCTGCTCAGTTCTGAGACCTGACTTGAGAGGCCACACACCAGTGTTACCACTCCCTGGCTGGGGCTTGGAATAGGTTCTTTCTCTCAGGCTGTTGTGTCAAGTTACTGGGATGTGGATAAATACCAAAGGCAGATATTTATTGAACTTCTGGTGTTTTGATATGATCGGTGGAGTTATTTTTGCTTTCCCTCTTTAGCTGGAGAGAAGTTCTTCCCTATTCCTGTTTAGGACTGGATTCTTTGTAGTTTATATAGAGGATATGCCCCCTCCACCTCCTGATTCTAGAAGTTTGGGTCTAGAGGCAGAGGCTACTTTGGGGGAATGCCAGCGACCAGGGGGCTGTTCAAAAGATGGTCCTTTCTCAGCTATGGACAAAGTCCCCAGAGAAAACTGGAGCTACAGAAGCGAGAGATCAGAGAATAATAAGATCAGGCCCTGAAACAAGTAGATCCAGAGTCACCACTGGACAGGTTCTCTAACTTTCTTGGCTAATTAAAGCTTTAGACCAGAGGTTGGCAAACCAGAGTCATGCTGGTTTTCTTATGGCCCATGAGCTAATCGTGCTTTTTACGTTTTTTAAATGGTTGGGGTAAAAATTTAACAGCATGGTGTGATAGTTGAAAATTACATGAAATTCAAATTTCACTGTCCATAAGCAAAGTTGTGTTGGGACACAACCCTGCCTATCCATTTGTTTTTTTATGGCTGCTTTCATACCACAGCAGCAAAGTTGAGTATAGTTGGACCTTGAAGGGTGCAGTGGTTAGGGGCACCAACTCTCTCATATAGCCAAAAATCTGCATATAACTTGACTCCCCAAACATAACTACCAATAGCCTATGCCTACTGTTGACTGGAAGCCTTACTAATAACATAAACAGTCAATTAACACATTTTATACAGTATATGTCCTATATACAATATTAATACAATAAAGTAGGCCAGAGAAAATGTTAAGGAAATTTTAAGAGAAAATACATTTACAGTACTATATCAATACTGTAAGTTTATGTATCTTTTTTTTAAAAGATTTTATTTATTTATGTTTAAGATTTTATTTATTTATTCATGAGAGACACAAAGAGGAGAGAGAGAGAGACACAGGCAGAGGAAGAAGCAGGCTCCATGCAGGGAGCCCAATGTGAGACTCAATCCTGAGTCTCCAAGATCACGCCCTGGGCCGAAGGTGGCACTAAACCGCTGAGCCACCTGGGCTTCCCAGTTTATGTATCTATTGGAAAAAAATGTGAGTATAAGTGGGCCTGTACAGTTCAAACCCACGTTATTCAAGGGTCAGCTATACAATTCTTTTAGAACCCTTCTTACTTGATTCCCGTGAATTCATTCCAAGCCAGTTAATATATCTGGAGAAAAACTGATCTAGAATTTCACATTTATCTGCAGTTTTGTCTTTGAGAAACACTGCGTAAAAACTGCCCAGCCAAGTCAAGCCAGGTACTACGGACTGCACAGGCCTCAAACACCAGAGCTACCTCAGTTTACCTTATATGGGGAACCACACCCACACCTGGTGTCACCTGCCTTCCACAGTTCTCCAACCTCTGCTTCTATACACACACTTCAGGTCTTTTTCAAGGTAAAAGGCCATATTGTATATGTTTCTTAACCATTTCGAGTAAAAACTAGGCTATCCATTTCATTCCCTTTAAAAAAAAAAAAGTGTCACTCATTAAGTTTTTGAGTATTATGCCTCAAGCCTGTTTTCCCATGAGCCCTTTGGTTTTTTATTGTGCAATTTTGCATGGTGCAGTGAGTTTCAGGAATGCATACATCCCACTGTAATGCAGAACTGACTATATCTGGGGCAGAAACCAAATGGCCCACAGAGCCTAAAGTATTTGATAGCTTTACAGAAATGGCTTGTGATGACCTTTGACTTCTGCCCTGCTTACACCGTGCATTCTGGGAATGGCTTTTCCCCCATACCACCATCCAACCGAAGAAGCCAAAGCCAGATTTATTCCAGAATTTTTATTAAGGTAGTAGCATGATGGTCCTGGGCCACCAGCCTGGACCTTGTGGCCTTAGGAAAGACCTGTGTCAACAGGGCTTGCCTCTCTCTCCAGACAGGGGCTCAGTCACCTCCAGTTTATCCCTGCTCTGTCCTGTACCCCTGGAGGATGGGGCAGAGGGCCAGAGGGAGAGGAGGGCATGGCCCCACCCCAGGCTATAGCAGCTCCTTGGCCACAAAGATCCTCTAGCCAGTAGCAGAGGGGAGGGATGCAGCAACCACCAGGGTTACCATTTGTGGGGTAGCCGGGCCCCACTACACCCTCTTACAGTTGTCCTCAAAACAATTAATAAATTAAAACCACCTCTTCCTTAAGCACTGACCCCCCTCAATCACACAGGAGAAGCTGAGCGGAAAGCAAAGCAAGGAGGAATTGGTTGGTTCCACCCCTCTGACCAAGGCCTGGGCCCTCCCTCTAGGAGCAGCTGTGAGCATGGATTTATACAGGGACCCCCACAAAGTGTGTCAGGAGGAGCTGTCCAGACTGTTTCCTTCACACATCTATCAGAATATCTGAAACTCCTTCAGAAAGGCCCTAATCCAAATGCAATAACCCTGGAAGGTGCGACACCTTTACAAGGCACTGGGGGCATGTTGGCATCTGAGAACAGGAGAGCCCCAGAGATGAAGGGGCTCAAAAAGGAATGCTGGCACGTGTTTTACCTACTTCAATTTCATTTCTGACCAGCCTCGCCCACCGCCAGCTAGGATCAGGGAAAGAGGGGAGCTGGTCAGATGCAGAGAGAAAAGGCGGAGCCTGACCAGCCACGCAAACATGACCAGCCAGGCCCCCTAGTGCACACTGCAAGGATAGATAGGGCCTGACCCCTTCAGCTTTGCAAGGGGCAGATAGGAAGGAGCCCCCTCAGGTGACGTGGTTCATTCCTACAGGCAGGGGGTGGGGGCAGCATTTGTCCCCTCCTCTGCTGCCAGGGGCCACAGGAGGGGGCCTCTCCAAGGCTACAGGTGGATGGCTGTGACATCTGTGGGAGTGCTGGTCTGGCTGGGCCCCTGGCTACTGGAGCCCCTGGGGGCTTTGGGCGCCGGGCTGGGCGAGGTCTGGGCGGCTTCTCTGAGGCTCTCCCTGAGCGCAGCTTCAATCTGCTCCTGACAGGCCCGCAGGCAGTCCTGCAAACACGGGGGTGGGGGTGGGGGTAGGGGTAGGGGACGGTAAGGAGTGACTGCTGGGTAGGATGGCAGAAGGTCCCCTTTGGGACTGAGGGCTCACTTCCCACCCCCACAGCATCTGGCGGCAGGTGCGGAGGAAGGACACCTTCCAGCACACAGGGAAGTCTGGGGAGGTTAAGCCACAGCCCAGCCCCAGGAATCAGCCTTTAGTTCTAAGAAACTGGCAAGAGGATGTGGCAAGGGGGTGTGAGAGCAGCCCTGCATGTGACAGCAGATCCTCCACCCCACCCCTGCACACCATTTGGCAGGAAAAGGGCACCCAGGGACAGTGCCCTTCAACCCACCCAAGTCACCTGCTCTTCTCCAGACCAAGGCAGGAGATAAAAGGCCACAGAAGCCCCAAGGGTGGGGGCACCTGAAACCAGGAGCAGGGACTAGGTTAGGGATGCATGCCTCCCTCTGCTGGAGGCTCCGGGAATAGCACTGCTTCAGGAACTGCTCACAGGCTGCAGCCCAGGGGCCCCACACTCACCACCTCAGTGCCTGTGATCCCTGCCAGCAGCTCCGTCAGCTCATCCCCAGATGTGGAACAAGCACCCAGGCCTTGCACTGCAGCCCCAATGCTGCCTGTGGCGATCATGGATGGCGGGTACATGGCAAAGGTGTAATCTTGGAAGGAGGGAGAGGGAATCATGAGAGAAAGGCTTAGCGTGGACTTCCTATTGCTCAGAAAGTGCCAGGCAGCAGGAATAGAGCAGGGGGCATACTGAGAACCCCCTGCAGTGAGCTCTGGAGGAGCAGCAAGGGAGAGAGGCAGGAAAGGGCCTCTCCTAGAGAGGGCCAGGGTGGACCACAAACTTCCACAGGTCCTCAGGCCCAGGGTGGTTGGGAAGTGAGCCAAGCCAGGGACCGAGGAGTGAATGAGTCTTCCTGGCAAGAAAATAAAACCACGGTCAGAAAGACCTCGGTTCTGCTCGCAGCTTAATCACTGTGAGACCGTGAGCAAGTCCTTTCTCTAAGCCACCTACATAATGGGGGGTCTCTCAAATCCCATACAACTCTGATTATGTTCTGCCTTTTCTGCACCCCCTCATCTCAGAGGGGATATTTTGAGAAGAGTCTAACCCAAATTTTGAAAGGAATCTAACTCAAAATCTAGTTACATGCCACCCTTCCAAGTCCTTGGATTTTCTTCACTTGGCAAAAGTGTGCGGGGCTCTTACCTGTGGCACAGAGGGCCAAAAAGGTCTGGGCATGTTTTTTGACCAGGGCTTGTCGGTCCTGGGGCAGAGAGAGCCGGTGCAGGATCAGAGCCAGGAAATCATGGGCAATCACAGCTGCCAGGTCCCACTTGAGCTTCCCCAGGACCAGCACCTCCCAGTCCTAGAGGTTGGGAAAGAGGGTGGCGTCAGTGGCTGAGGAGGGAAGGGAAGGGAAGGGAGGAAAGCAGAAGTCTCACGGAAGGAAACCCACCAGACTTGAAGGTCAAGCCCCCAGTTCTGCTTCTGGATTTAAAGACTGATGCTGTGACATGAGGGAGTCCAGAGCACAGAAAAACTGGGGGTGTCTGCTTTGGGCATCTACTGCTTATTTACAAAGTACCAGAACTACACATTTGATATAAACTGTCCCTTTCAATCCTGTTTGGTTATCTTTCGGGGGCCAACAATCCAGGTCTTCTCCTGACTTCACACAGAGCTCTGGGCACTTCTCCAGCCAGAGTTGAAAATAAAAAACACCAGCAGCATCATCACCTTGAACCTCCTCTTGGGTGAAGCAGAAAGACTCTTCGTAATCCCAAGGATTTGTAAAAGGGGAGACCATAGCCTCTCCAGTTCTGCATCCCTGCCAAGGCCACACCCCTTGAAGAAACCGGAATGAACATGAGGCCCCACCTCCTGTGACACAGCCACTGAACCAAGCCTGAGGTTCCTCAAAGGGGGAGGTTGCCCAACCCAACCCACATCCCGTTGGTGGGACACTGGGGGTGGGCCTGAGATGTAGCACCCCACTCCACCCCCTTTACCTGGAACCATAGTGGCTAGTGTCATTTAAGTCTCAGGAAGCAAAGTGGATGCCAAGCCAGACAGGATGGGTCCAGATGATCCCTGAGGGACCAAACTCTATCTCCAATGGCTCATGGCCCACACCTACATACCACTGCTAGGTCCTGGAGGGAGGCTAGGAGCCCCACCCCAATCCACGCATCTGGGGTTCCTAGTCCTGGCCCCTTTTCTGAGTTAACACATATGAGGATTTCTTCATTGTTTTATCTCAGGAAGGAACTCATGGGTTTGGCCCCTTACTGAGGCAGAAATGGAAACCCCGCCCCGCTTCTTCCAGGTCCCTA